CTCTCCCACCGCTTTTATTTCACCATCAAGCCGACCATGTTTTGCATCCTATTGTTGATCCCCAAAACCCAATAAATTGGCCTCAAAACTTGCTGTGATTGACCCACCGGAGCATAGTTTCCACGGCGACAGAGGCGCAGATTAGAAGACGTGAGTTTAGTCATTTGCCAGAGGTGATGGTGGCGGCGCGAGAAGCAGTGAGGATGGAGACGAAGAGGAGACTATGGTATTTTACCTTTTATAAGGGTTCTATGGTCATTTAAGTAAATTTAGGTTTGTCACGTGAGGGCCATGTGTTTAAAATCCATCCACTGGTCGCCGGATTGGACAAAATGCATTTTACCCTTATAAAATAAATAATCTGGGTTGGGGTTGTTCGACCATTTTTCTTAAATGAAAGGTCCAATTTACAAATAAAATAAGAAATTGACTTGCACGGAATCTGGGTCGTTAAGTTATAAATGAAAATTGGGCCGGCCCAAAAAGCTTTTACCGTCCACACGTTATTGCTTAACGACTATCCATCTCTTCTCAATAAGTTAAGGCCGGCGCTTGCCATCATACCCAGTAGCGTGAGATGCGTGGGGTATTGTGTTATTAGTTATATAAAAATATTTCCCTACCCTTCTAGTCGATGTGGGACAAGCTTGACTTAGAATATTCCTCCGCTTAGCTTCTTCTCAACGCTCCGATCTGATCGCCAAAGCATTTCTCTCGCCGGACTCCAAGGCTCTCTTCTCTTCCTTGAAACCCTAACCGGCCAAGACGTCGTTGACTCCATCGATATCTTCCCCGCCGATGTTCCTTTCTGTTCACTGACGAAAAGTTGACTCCATTTTTCCCGGAAGATAAACAAAATTGGGATAATAGAAACCATAATAAAAGATTCTACCCATTATTAAGACTTATAAAATGCAAATTGATTTAATTTGCATATCTATGCATAAAACACAGTGGAATGATGTTTATTCCATATAAGGGCTTCAATCAGCTTATTATTCAGATTAATTTTTTTCAGCATATTCAGATTAATTTTAACAAGTGGAATAGAAAAAGACAAAAAAATGGTCCTTAGCTTTATTTTGGATGTTATGTTTCAACTGTTATCACGGTTGATGAGTATCATCCTTTATATGGAAAAGGGTATGTAATAGTAATGCAAAGTCTTCACCAAATATTGAATAATTAATGTGCCCAAGCACCAAGCTTCACTTAAATCAGGCTGTGAAATTTTACTCTAAAATCATCGACGGAAGGATTTTTCTTTCCTAATTCGATGAGGAACTCGCAACGCCGTTGTTGAGATCGGGTTTGCTAATTGGGATCCCTCCGGGTTGAGCGCTTAGCGTGACATAGGATCAAGTAATGGGTCTGGCTCTGATACTAAATGTCATGAACCGGGTGTTTTGCGATTCGACCTAAAAATTTAAGCTATTAGATAAGGCTAACACCCATACCTATTCACTTTCCAACCGAATTCGATGTGGGACCACTTGTAACAACTACCTAGTTCAAATTCAAACATATTATCAACTTAGGTCAGGATACTCCGGTATGTGTCAAGTGTGTGCACCCCTGTCAGATTTGGCTAGAGTTGTGTTTTCATATAATATGGTGTTGAGCATAGGCACTAAAATTGTTTTGAAGGAATAACTTACTAGGAGTAATGCTATTAATTTGAACAACAAACACAGTACTTGTATATTCTACAAAAGGCTTTATTACATAAAATGTTGAAATAAAACACCGTAAATGACATTATTCGAGACATAATGAACTTTTTGCTCTACACATCTTTAAAATTAAGAATAACTAGTACGTGATAACCTCAAAATGAATCTGAAATTTATAAGAATAAAAAAATTGTTGATGAAGCCTAGGAAGAAGAACTATCCATCTATGTTGCATAACGTACAGTAGCATTGACAATTAGCTAATGTCCCTCACCAGGGCTGGGACCAGAGTTGGGCCTGACCCCTAGAGTTTGAGCATTGGTGAACCCATGTCCCTTTGCTCCGGTGCTTGGACCGCTGCCTGTTTTAATGGCTTCCAACCCATCAAGTATATTCTGACCTGTGGCTCTGTCCTTGGCACTCGGTAGCTTCGCTGCATTGAGAGGATGAGCTTCCATGGTGGAAGATAAAGAGCCAATGTCGAGAAGAAGAAGGAACACGGCATGAGAGACTTAAGAGTTGTACTTCCGGCCCTTTGGATACATGGTAGTATGTAGAGTAATAAGTGCAAGAGCTGCTTGAAATCCTTATCCCTGTTTTTTTACATACTGATTTGCCATGATTTAAGAACATTTATATCACAATAAGACATGTTTTGAAAATTGAGAACTTTTATTTTTTTTAAATCATTTTATTTTGCAATTTTAAGTTTTTGACACTACATTTATCAATATACAATGAAATTTCGTCTGAACAAAAATGGAGATAGTAAACTACACATAAAGAGAAGGTTAGGGTTCATTCGACTACATTCTGGATGTTTGCTGAGGAAGCACGTAGAGAGAGCATCACATGATATATCTAAGGTCAGTGATAACAACCTATTTGTTTGAAGATTTTGTGGTGATGAAAATGGATGTGGAATGGACTGAATTTCATTTGATTCCGAGGTTTGCGATTTGTTTGATCGATGAGATGTTTCTTGAATGCCATTACAATAGACGGCAGAGATGTTGCCCCAGGGAACTGTTTTCCTCTTTAAGAAAGAGAGTTCTTGTGCATCAATGGTGCTGAGTGATAATATATTCTTTAATTCTTTCTCATAGAATTTGTGTTTTTTTGTTCAATATATTCAACTCTCCCGCCTGCAAATAGGCATTTAATTACATTTTTTTATTCCAGTATTATATGTTTTGTGTTTCTGTATCTTTTAATTGTATACCTACTCAAAATAATCTAAATTTTACACTCCTTTACATTATTGTTTAGCTCGTCCATAATGATTTTGAAAAAGGTGCAAGACCCAAAGAAATTGAGCTTTGTCCGATATTGGTAATTGAGCTTTGTCAAGAGGCCGATTGTGTGTCGAATTTTTGCATTGAAGAAATTGTTTCATGCGTGGTAAGAAAGTTAGTGTGACACGCACGTACAAGGCTTGACTTTGGCACTTGTGAATGTAAAAAAGTATTTTTGGACAAACTCAAAAAAAAAAGTCCAGTTCCATGAAAAATAAGAATCACATATTAAAAAATAAACTTGCATTCACGTATGGAAAAGGTGGCCCCGAACTCTTTCTACTCGCGCAATTGCAAGGTAATGATATCATAAACTTTTCACAAACAGTATTGTCTCTTAGAGACATGGAAATTTCTTCGAAATTTTTCAGAAATTTAAAAAGGACTTGACGACAGTTTCTGTTTTTACGTGTGTTGGGGGGGGGGGCCCGAACTCTTTCTACTCGCGCAATTGCAAGGTAATGATATCATAAACTTTTCACAAACAGTATTGTCTCTTAGAGACATGGAAATTTCTTCGAAATTTTTCAGAAATTTAAAAAGGACTTGACGACAGTTTCTGTTTTTACGTGTGTTGGGGGGTGGGGGGGGGCGCGGCTTCTTGCTTGACTTCACAATTTCTAATGACTTAGTCCATACTCAAGAAAATTCAGTGTTATTCCCAATTTCTAATGACTAGGTCTATACTCAAGAAAATTCAGTGTTCTTTGACTTGGTCTATACTCAAGAAAATTTAGTCCTATAACAAGTATTTGTGGCTCTTCTATTTGTCTGTCACTTCTTATATTACACCATCTTTCTACTCACTCCCCCTGTAAAAGATGAAACAAGTATACATCTGTGTAAAATGAAACTTTAAACAAAACTAGGCAGGATGACTTTCGGAAGGTGTAATATTTTTCTTATTCATATCCTCTTTCTTTCTTTATTTCCACTGAACATCACACCATCTTTGGAAAGAACAGAAGCAGAAGCTCTTCTCAAATGGAAGAACAGCTTGTCTTCTTCTTCTTCCCTCGATTCATGGTCAGTTGCTAATCTCAAAAATCATTGCAACTGGACCGGCATTGTCTGTGACACTACTAGATTTGTCTCCGAGATAAGTCTCTACAACGCAAGTCTCAATGGAACACTTAACCAATTCAGCTTCACTTCTTTTCCAAATCTCAAGCATCTGAGCCTCTCAGTCAACAGCCTCAGTGGGTCAATTCCACCTGCCATTGGCAATCTCTCCAAGCTCACTTATTTGGACCTGAGCAGCAACTTCTTCTATCACACCATACCATCGGAGATCGGATTGTTAACCAGGCTTGAATCCCTTGTTCTTGGGGACAACAATCTAAGCGGTGCCATTCCATACCAAGTTAGCAATCTTCTAAAGGTAGAGTTCTTATTCCTTGCAATGAACTTATTAGAAACTCCAGACTGGTCAAAGTTCTCGGCCATGCCATCATTGAGAGACCTTAGCTTATCATATAATCGACTTACCTTGGAATTCCCAGTTTTCTTGTCCAATTGTAGGAATCTGACAAATCTCAATTTGGAAGAAAACAATTTCACCGGCATAATACCTGAATGGGTGTTCACCAATTTAACCAACCTTGAATATCTTATTCTTGCCCGAAATTCTTTTCAGGGGCCATTATCAATGAAATTTTCTAACGTTTGCAAGCTCAAAGAAATTTATCTGGAGAACAATAGTTTCACAGGCGCAATTCCTTCTGAGCTTGGCCTCTGTACTGATCTCACTGTCATGGCTCTGGGCATCAATTCATTTGTTGGGCCCTTGCCTTTGTCCTTTTCCAATCTGACCAACATATTTCGCTTTGATGTGTCCAACAATTTTCTTTCCGGTGAGATCTTTCTTTTTTCTTCACTAACTGGACTAATTTGACTTCATTGCGTCTTGGAAACAATTCCTTCACCGGAAAAATCCCACCAGAAATTGGCTTATTGTCACAGCTCAATTTCCTTTATCTATATAATAATCAACTTTCTGGCTTCATCCCGTTTGAGATTGGAAACTTGAAACTCTTGTGGATGCTAGATCTGTCACAAAATAAGCTCCAAGGCCCAATTCCTCCAACAATTGGGAATTTGACACTGCTTTTTCGTCTTGATCTCAGATCTAACCTGTTGAATGGAGAGCTACCTGACACCATTTATAATTATAGTAATCTTCAATTGTTCAATATTGACGGCAACCAAATCTCTGGTCAACTTTCACACAAGTGGGCAGTATGTAAAAACCTGATGTATTTACTACTGGGTGGAAATAAAATTTCGGGTGAAATCCCGGCTCAACTCGGAAGCCTGACTAAACTGCGAGCTCTAAACCTAGCCTCGAATGAATTGAATGGAGAAATACCATCTTCCATTTGCAACTTGAGTTATCTTGAGCTTCTTGATCTATCCAATAACAGTTTGAGCAATGTGATTCCACAATGTTTGGGGAACTTCAGCAGTGAACTCATAGTCCTAGATCTGCGAATGAATCACTTTCATGGACCCATTCCAGCAAATTACACAAAGTGCAACAATTTGAGGAATCTCGGGTTGAATGGTAATCAATTGGAAGGGTTCGTTCCACGAACTTTGGCAAACTGTAGAAAGTTGGAAGTTGTAGATCTTGGAAACAACAAGTTAAGCGACGCATTCCCCCATTGGATGGAAAATCTTCCAGAGCTGCACGTTCTTGTCTTGAGATCTAATAGATTTCGAGGCACAATAAGCACTACTTCCAAGAGTGATCAACCCTTCCCTAAGTTGCGAATCATTGACTTCTCGCACAATGAGTTCGACGGCTCATTACCAACAAAATATTTTGAAAAATTCGAAGCAATGATGAATGAGGATGATGGTCAAACTGGTTTGAAATACTTGGGGGACTTATATTATGGAGCTTCTGTGACGTTGGTGGTGAAAGGAAATCAGATTGAACTAGTGAGAATCTTACAAGTCTTCACAACCATTGATTTATCGAACAACAAGTTCCAGGGAGAGATTCCAAATTCCATTGGAAAGCTTATTTCTCTCCGGCTGCTCAACTTATCCCACAATAGCTTTACCGGTCGTATTCCATCATTGTTGTCAAAGTTGGTTGTTCTGGAGTCATTAGACCTCTCTTCGAACCAACTAGTGGGGGAAATACCTTGGCAACTGTCAAGCCTAACATTTCTTTCCGGCTTGAACCTTTCTCAGAATCATCTTGTCGGATTGATACCTCAAGGCCGACAATTTGATACATTTGAAAATAATTCATATTATGGTAACCAGGCATTGTGTGGAGCACCATTGACAAAGAAGTGTACAAATGATGAGACACCACCAACACTGCTGCATGAAGAAGGTGATTCAATTTTTGCAAGTGGATTTACTTGGAAAGTTGTCGTAATAGGATATGGGTGTGGATTATTATTTGGGTTGATTATGGGTTGTCTGGCCTTCTTGACTGAAAAACCAACATGGTTCGTAAACATCGTGGAAGGAGATCAACATAGAAAGAGGAAAAGATCAAGGAAGAATAATTGAGGACATGGTGGGAAAGGAAATCGATGAAGGCAAATAGTCAAATTGTACCAGCAGATCTAAGTTGTTATAAATGTGTCACGATTTAGTTGTTCTTTGTTACTTTCTCAATTATCCATAATAGTTTGTATTTTATATTTGCTATTTGAACAAGTACCTACATTTGCTATTTGTTCAGTCTCTCTCTCCCTCTTATTTTAATTTCTTGCTTTTCTCCTTGTTTAATTAATTATCATGTCACTTGTAATCTCTCTCTTTCTTTCTCTCTGGACTGGTTCTGTATACGATGGGGTTTGGAAACAGTGAGTGATAAATAGTTACCAGCAATATTTGTAAAACTGATCTTTTAGAACTATGAAGCAGTTTCATTGAAATGACAGAAGATCTATCTATTTTTAATTCCTCTCTTCTCTTCTTATTCCTTCTTGTCTCTTCTTTGATGATTTTGTGCCCATTTGGCGTTGTTGTTGTAAACGCTCCGATCTTCAACTTTATTAAAAGGCATTTTTGTCCAACGCTATTTTTCAAATTGAACGCGCTTTTACAGGTTACAAACAAACGCCTCTTCTTCTTCTTCTTCTTCTTCTTCTTCTTCTTTTTTATTTATTTATTTATTTTATTTATTATTATTTATTATTTTTTTTTTTGTAACCGGAGCCCCTTCCTTGACTTAACAATTTATCATGGTCAATTGGCCGGCTAATTTGACTTCAGAATTTTTAATTTATCACAATTCATTAAAAGGAGCAAGCGTCTGAACTTTGATTTTTCAAAAAAATATTTATAAGTGAATATCTTCGATTTTTTTTTTTTTTTTTTTTTTTTTGACTTTCATATTTGTAAGAATAATTGACAAGAAAATAATGTGGAAAAGCAAAATTCACTATAAAAAAGGATCCAGAGCATTGCTACTTCGGAATCCACTTCTCAGTTCTCTATCATGCAATCTAAATGGATTGCAGTCTTACAGAAAATCTGCAAATGTTGTGATTGCAAGCTTGCATGTATATATAGCAAGGATGATCTAAAAGCTGAGAGGTGCCGGAATTGTAGACTTTCTCGTGTTTTACAAATCACAGGAGATAATTGCACATTATATATATATATATACACTGTACAACATACGAGGGGCAAATCCCATGGGCCTACATCAAAATGCCCACAAGCCCAAAGTCAAAGATAAAAACGCTAAAGCCCATACAACACAGTCTTCAGGTCCAACCTCAAACTAACTTACAAGCAAGAAGGGGCTCCTTTCAAGGGGATCAAAGAAGAAGAATCAGGAAAGGCTCTAAGTGGCAACGATGGCTTTTGCAAGATGATGCACATAGCTGGCCAAGGTATTCAAACGCTTTTAGACCACAAAATCCCATTTTGAATAAGCATTTGCAAATTAATTTTATATTTTTCAAATATTTAGTTTTACCATATATATAGTTTAGGGTTAAATGCAAAAAATCTCCCTGAACTATTGAGGTTTCTTGCAAAACCCCCCTGAACTACAAGAAACCCCCTAAACTATTATTTTGTTACAATTCACCCTATCAGGTCACCGGAAAAGGCAAAAGACAATTCCGCCATTACTATGAACTAGGACAGTGCTACACTTGTAGCCAAACAGAGGTACTGGGCCTTAATATAATATATATATATATATATATATATATATATATATATATATATATATAAAAGATATATTATACATATATATGGTATATCATATATGTCTCTGCAAACCCAGAAGGGGAAAGTACTGCAGCCACGGGGACGACGATGAGGATCGGCCGAAGGAACGGCGGTGAGCTCGGCTGGTTCATCTCTTCATTCATGAACTGGTGGGTCGCTTCAGCTCTCCGATGCAAGTCATCTAAAACTTGGGGCAGCCGGAGTTAATCGCTGAAGGTTCTGGGTCTGTCTCAAACGCAATCTTGAGGTTCCCTGAAGCTTTTTTGATAAAGGTCGTTGAAGCTTTTCTGATAAAGGTCGCTAAAGCTTTTCTGATTGATTGAATGTTGATGCTCTTCAGGTTTGATCGTCGTCTATATGGAGGTATCAGTTGGGTCTTCAATGGAACTCTAGTTCAGTTCATACAGCTTCAATTTCGGAGCTCGCCGGCTTCAATGGACGCTGCTGCTCGGAGCTCGCCGGAATGGATAGGTCGTTGTATCTCTGCACATGACTTCATCTTCGGTTGGGCCGGTGATACTCAGAGCTTCCCACCGATGGCCATAGAGTTTGAAGCCGGGTATTGAAAAATCAATATCTGGCAGTGGTCTGTTTATTGGAGGCTTGGAGCTGTTGCAATCTGATATGGGTATGATTGTGGGTGTAGGAACAAAACAAACCCAGTAAAAAAAAAAAACCTTTGCAACTTTGTTGTTTCAAACAAATGATAAGTGCTTAAATGTTGCACATTTCAGCACCTAAGTTAGGGTATTTCAGTCTTTGCATCTATCTTAAGTTTATGTTTTAGTCCTAATTTATGTTTATGTGTATTTCAGGGTAATAAAGTTAAAATGAGCTAAGAACGGTCCAATTAAGCCTTTTTGGAGTTAAGCAAAGATTTTTAGAAAATGGCACAAAGCGGTCAATCTCGGGCCTTTGATGATGTTCCCAAAGATGGAGAAGCAAACCAAATAGCCCGGGGCAAAAATGGAGCTGAATAAAGCTTAAAGGAATTTTCCAACTCTGGGGGATCGATCCCCCAGGACTTGGCAACATTGCATATTTTTATTTTAATGTTTGGGCTTATTTTGTAACCTAGTGGGCTTTAATAGGTTTATTACTTAAGTCCAGTGAGGCCCATTGCTTTTAGGGTTAGTATTGATTTTATTTTTTAATCTGTATCGTGATATCGTTCTCTCTGGAAGAAAATGAAAGGAAGAAAAAAAGCGAGGGTTTGAAGAATATTTTTACAGAGGCTTTGTCTACAATTGAAGGAAGAAGAAGAAGAAGAAGGAGCCAAAAGATGGAGATGGAGCTTGTTGACACCATGATCATCTTCTACATGAGCTAGTTCTTCACTTAGGGCTTGGATGAGCCCTAAGTTCATGTAACCTGAACCTTTGTTTTTCTTTTCTTGGGGAATTATTAAGTTGTAATTAAATATTTGGCCTTGTGATTTATTTATATATACATGCTTGATTTGACAAATTAGGGCTTGTATTAATTAATTCTTCCATTGAAATCTCCAAGTTGATTGTATGTCTATATATGATTAATTAGGGATTTTATTCTTCATTAGATGTTTGAAAATTAATTATTCCATTGATTCTATATAAAAATTGCATGTCTATGTGTGATTGATTTAGAATTATACTCTACACTAGATACTTCTTTTAGTTGTGTTTAGTGATGGCCATAGCATGAGACTTAGTTATACAATTGTAAATTAATTTGATGGATAAAGGCTTAATCTTGATGGGTTGTTCTACAAATTAGCTTATTGTCATTAGGTAATTGTAGTAAAGTAGGCAATTTGTGCTTGATTATGTTAATCCATACTTCTAATTACAATTAGTATTATCCTCTTGATTGATGTGTGCTTTTATCGAATACATTTGTGAATGTGTATGGTGGGTTATGACGTAGTCTTGAATGGGTTCTACACTTTAGTTTAATTGTCATTAGGTAAACAATTCATTCTTGATGTTGATAATCTATGCTTACAATTGTGATTTGTGATGATAACGTGACCACATCTATAATTACACTAATGAATTCCCCATTAATTGAAAGCATATGGTTAATTGCATGAGCTTAGTGGTGAATCCTAACCCTAAGACTCTCTTCATATCTCTTTAATTCTTAGTTTAATTTAATTTAATTTACTTGCATTGTCATTTCTATTTCCATGCTTTCGATTTAACTCTAGTTTAATCACTTCACCAAAAATTTTTTTCTCTTTCTCTCTTTCTCTTTCTCTCTTGTGCAATCTCATTAGCACTAAAATCAAGTTTAATCCCAACACGTGTTCAATCCCTTGGGTTCGATCCCTATTCGCTTCATACTACATAGTATAAGTGTTTAGTGGTTTTATAAATTTTAAAATATGATGCCCACTTGACATTATTTCTAAACTTAAAGTGTTGTGCATTATTTCGTGCACACGCTCGGGTCGCATCAACAAACCCAGTACATATTGTTAGAAAGATTTCAAAAAAATTAACTTTTTAAGTATTTGATTGATTGGACTGGTATAGCCCATTTAATCGATCAGCAGATTCATCACAATAGAAAAAAATTTATAAGCTTTAATGGAGAAGTTGAAAGCTTCTGACCTCAGTCATTCAATGCCGTTGTATAGCGACAAAAACAAAAACAAAAAAAAAAAAAAAAAAAAAGGCAAAAACTACAGTTTAAAATTTTATTCAACAGTTCTCCATTTTTAGGCTTTTAGCACCTTTCGGTGTTCATGACAGACAAGCTTTTCAAAAAAGGAATCCAAAGCAAGTCAGTGGTCATCACCTCAATTCAGCCTTTCAGGCTTTGCACATGGCTTCCAGCATCATTCAGAAGACATCATCTCAAGTCAGCCTTTCAGACTCAGCACATGGCCTCCTGTTGCATCCTTATCTCCAAGGAATCCAAAGCTCTCCAAGGCTCCTTCGAGGCCCTATAAATAACAGCTCCTCTAGACATTGGAGGCAGGCTCATTTTTCAAGTTTAGATTTTAGTTTCCGTTTCAAAAGTTCTCAGTTCAAATTGTAATTTTTAAGTTTAAGTTTTTAGTTTTACTTCATCCAAGGAGCTCGGCTCAGAACAAAAGTGTTGTATTCAAAGATCAAAGTTGTAAGTTCCATATTTTAATCAAAGTTCTTCAAAGTTATTCATGTTCTGTTGTTAACTTGCATATTCCCATATATATATATATATAATTTCATTGTATTATTTTATTGATTATTTAACCTTTTCAATATCCTGTTTCTCTCATAATTCATTATCAGTTATTCATCAGGTGTTTATGGTATATATATATATATATATATATATATATATATATATATATATATATATCTCCTCTGAGAAAAATAGACAGAAAAATGCCCCTCCTCCAAAACATTTTCAAAAGAAACCTGCCACCTCAAAAGCAGATATAAAATGCTTCAAGTGTGGCAAGATAGGTCACTACAAACGTGATTGTAGAGCCAAACAGAAGATCAATGAGCTCGATCTCCCTGAAACCGTCAGGAGCCAACTGATGCAAATTCTTTTAAACTCTTCTGATGACAAATCCGAACATGATATCAATGGTATTCAAGAAGATGACTATCATGCTGATACAGATTATGTTTCTGATTCTTCCAACCCATCTTTGGATGACCAACCTATCAAAACCAAATGCATCTGTATGATTACTAAAGATCAAGAGT